CTTTGATCGAAATGACGTATTAAGGCCATGAAAAGGAAAGTTTTACTTAATTTCCCTTTAGTGGTTCCAAAATTAATTTGGACGTGGTTGTTTCAGTAAAAACACATATCTTCCCATACGAATAGGTTTGTATTCACTTCTGTTATTCCTTTTTATCAACATGTCTACGTTATTGAAAAGAAAACGAGGAATGAATTGAACAGACATATCCGTAAGGTCTGGAAAACGTCTGCCAAACTAAAGAATATTTGGCCTTTCTGTGAGCCATGTGGTTTTTAAGTATGCTAATGTATGACCTATAGAATGAGTACAAAGACCTTAGGAATAAGTCGCACAAGCGCAAGAAAAAGGGATGACTTGGGTGGGACGCGTTACCGCGTCACAATGTCCCACGAGGTGCGCAAAGTGGGACGCGTTACCGCGTCACGCTGTCGTCAACGTGTAGGACAGAGGTGTGAACGAGTTGCTGCTCAAATCGATTGCCGCGCTAGCGCGCGTCACAGTTGTTGCTGTTTGTCGCCGCGCCGTGACCTAGCAATCGACACTCAGGTGAGGGTAGTGCAGATATATGTACAGATGAAAGGAGACTGATTGAAGTGGCCCATTCCTGGCATTTACAGGTAAAACTTGAACCTATATGAAGCGACAACTAACCGTGAGAGATGTTTCGACCCAGAAGATCCATGAGTAGAGGCGGTGGTGGTGTCGGTGCTGGTGGGAATTCCTTCTCACGACTCTTTGCTTTATCTTAAGTACGTCAAAATCAGTCAGAACTAGTATTCTTATCACTCTACTGGTTACGGTAGTAGCCGGCCTGGATGAGTGAGATTGCAGCATGATTAACATAGTCAGGTTATCCATGGATCCCGAGCAGAATAAGAACATGTTGCCTACGGTATATTGGACTTATGTAAAGAGCCCACATCGCACGTAATAGGCCAGGGGCAGGGTGCAACAAGACCCGGCCGGGAATGGAACTGCTACTCTACTCCGGTTTATGACGCAGTTAAGCATAGGGGGATACGTCCAGACGTTCCTTGCGGCATCCGCCTCCAGAAAGTGTACGACAATTTCCTCGGTACGGTTGCGTGCAGCTTTTTTTCGCACGCCGAAGACGGCTTTCGCGCCGCGCGATTTGTTGGCCCATCCGAGAGTGAGTCTAGAGAAATTCCTCATTACTTCTCACCACTCTAGGTTCAATGGAGACTGTGCATTCGCATGGCGCAATCATAGAATGATGGTCAACTATCCCGGAAAACCCTGCTTTGATCGCTCAAGAACAAAGAGCAAGTCACTTTACCCATAATTTGCCCAAAAGTTAGCCTGAAAGTTAGCAAATGCGCCAAGAAGCGTAGAACATAAAAGGAATGCTCACCTGCTTGATCCTTGAACTGATCCAGTGGTAGTCCTGAACCTTCATCATCGTTCTGAAAATGGACCAGTGATCGTGAGACACTTTCGTACGGGATCTTGTGGGCAGAGGTACAACACAATAGCAGGAAAGCCACAAATCATTCGCAGATCTCAATCTTCAGACGTTTACGTCCAGTCACTTACCTTCCCCTGATGACGTGCCTTTAGGATCTTCCGTTTCCGCCACTGAGACAGAATACGTCAAAACAATCACGACGAGGACAATTTTTAACTATTCGAAAAATTATCGTGACCATGCACGACATGATAATATCGAGGAGCGTGGCACATGAAAATTGCTCCAGCAACCTTGCATTCATAGGTTAGCTCTGCAGCTAACCCTCTCACATAGTAAAAGGTGGATGCCGGTGGAAGAAGAGGGGTAGATCGGAGGGGAGGGAAGCAGCACGAGCGGCGATCGACGACTTGCTGAACAGGGCCAACCATCACGCTAAACTGATATGAAAAAAAAAATTTGCCCCTTTTCTTCCCTCCCCCCTCCCAACCCAGGGTCGGTCCTATCGTTGCTACTTTTCGAAAAATTTTTACGACCCCCCTCCCCAAAGGTGGATTTGGTACGACCCCCCTCTCGACCCTCGACCACCATATTCCTCGCTATAGTATTTCATTCTGGTATCACTCAACCCACGAAAACTCCGCCCACTTTTTCCTCCAAAAATGCCGTCGAGCGGGGGGGGGAGGGGGGGGGGTATATAGTCACTCTGAAACCGTAAAAATTACCTAAAATTCCCTAAATTTCCACCAATTTACCCCCTCCTACCTTTAATCCCACGCTTCATTTTCTAGGGGGTATATACGCGCGCTGAAACGGCAAATTTTCTCCCGCGCCACTCCTCCCTCACCTCATGCAACTTCTCACAATCGAAGCAAGTACGACCCCCCCTCTACAACCTCATCAAAATATACGACCCCCCTCTACAAACTCATCAAAATGTACGACCCCCCCTCTAAAAACTCATCAAAGTACGACCCCCCGTTGCTACTTGTAGCAACGTAGCTTTGACCGAAGTTTATATCGTCAATATTAGGTTGTCTCATAAATAGTGTCGCTTTTTTTCAACCAAAAAATTTTCATCCAAATCCTCATGCTTTTACATCGATCATATACCATTCGAAAGAGAATTGTCTGCTCTACAAAATATCGTGTTCTTCTTCCATCTATGTTCCATGGTTTTCAAATTTTAAGCCTGTGAAATGGGAGGTCCCGCCGACAAAAATTGACCAAAACCGACAACTAGCTCTAACTTTATGTTCCCTTCGGAGAAATCAATCAATGATGTACCCTCTACTTACTCATGACCTCTTCTGAACATTCCACCCTTAGGTTGCCGAAAAAGGTTTGCCCTGTTTCTTTTCGAATTGGCCGACCGATAAGTCATGGCAATTTTCAAATTGAAATTCTTCCTCTGAAACGCTATTGTTTTATATCAACTGGTTTATCTTTTGTGAGCACTTCTTCTGCTTTATTCGCTCATTTGTTTTGTTTTGATGTTTGTTAGGAATTAGCTCGAATTTTAGGGTTTAGGAGTAAGGTGCTTTGTCCACAAAAGTGACCGCATTTCTTTGAAAGAAATTATCCTTGAGGAGATGAGAAAATCAACCAGGCGTACATTCCTAACTTAGTCATGACTTGTTCTTGAAATTCTACTAGTTTTTCAATGTCTCGGCTGTAAAAAAATTTCGACCTCGATCTCAGGTAATGGTGCTCAACCGTCGAGTTCTGGTTGAAAAACCGGGTCTGGAAATGGAATGATGCGACTTGTTGGGAAACCTAATAGTGTAATGTTTAGAAGAGGTCATGCATAAGTAGAGGGTACATCATTGATTGATTTCTCCGAAGGGAACATAAAGTTAGAGCTAGTTGTCGGTTTGGTCAATTTTTGTCGGCGGGACCTCCCATTTCGCATGCCTCAAATTTGAAAACCATTGAACATAGATGGAAGAAGAACACGATATTTTGTAGAGCAGACAATTCTCTTTTGAATGGTATATAACTCTCTGTAAAAGCATGGGGATTTAGATCAAAATTTTCTGGTTGAAAAAAAGCGACACTATTTATGAGACAACCTAATACATAACCAGTGCGTATAGCATCAGTCCTACTGTCACTACACACGTCGCCTGCTAGTAGTGTCAATATAGCTATCGCCCCATTTGCTCACCTCTTCCTTCCCCTTCCTCTCTCCTCCTTCATTCCTCCCACGGGAACAAAGTGAAAGTGTAGGAGCGTTATACTGATGTACAGGCTGCAGTAATAGCCTTTTAAAAAGACTGCAGGAATGGGGCGACAAATCCGATGAGAAGAAAGGTGGAGGCGGTTAACAGACTGAAGCTTCTGCCGCATTCGCAGAGTTAAGCCATCCTAATAGGTTGCACAACGCGTAACTCTGAGCAAGGCCACCCACCAGTTAGAAATTTATAATGGTAACGAGGGAGATCGTATTTGTTACACGGAGAGTATTATGTTTCTTCCTGCATGAAATGAAGGTGGGGTATCTTGAGATTTTTAGATTAGTTGTGTAGGACGCCACGAGGTGGTGTCGGTAGGTAGAAGAAGAAGAGGTCGTTTTTGGATGGGATCGTGACAATTCAGGGAAAAATTCCCACGAAAAGGAATGAAATGGGTGGGGCTAAAGCTTGTTGCTGTTCCATGAAGAGGAGGACAATGTAAGAGCGTGCCGGCTGGTTTCAGAAAAGTAGGAAAATTTTCAAGTGTGGGAGAGAGGCAGCTGATCTGACATCGAATCCACTCCCTTCCTTTCCCACCCCAGCTATCAGAAACTATTAATCCAATAGTTTATATCATTTAGATAGTCTGGTTCGTCTGACACTTGCACAGAACTGACCGTGGTGGACGTGCTATTTGCATCTTTCGCCAGCCACGAAAATACCTATGAGTCGCTTTTGCAGGAGGGCTGTAACCGCCACAAACGCTTATTGTGCGCCAATCTTCAAAGCTTCTCCTATCAGAACGAAAGGAGACAAGGTAGCCCATTTGTCTTCACTTTTATGGGGTTCCACGCAAAAATTACCAAGTTTCAGGGCGATCGCGGCGATCGCGGTATGCCAGGACCGCCGGGACCGCCTGGTGCACCAGGACCAGCACAGCAAGTGTCTTACGGAGGTGATGCATGTGAGTGAGGGTTTGAATGATACATCCGATACTCGAGCTCTAAGGATAGTCCTAGAATTGGATCTACCAGATAAGTTAGCCAAAAAATGGAACTCTCAAAAATAAATTAGCTGGCAAAAGTAGTCCACAAAGGCAGGACAATTGCCAGTCGAGATACTTTGTGCTGGATTTCTTCGCCTTGTTAAAGGAGTTTGATTTGGTCCTTGCATAGGAATCATACGAAACAATTAGGTTGGCGTTTTTTTTCACATCATAACATTATTTCAGCGATTGTACGAGTTTATCCGAGCACTCACGAGCTGTTCTCGTCCCGTGTACTCATTGGCACGTTGGCTTTTGCCACTGCTACTCAACAGCTTTACATTAAAGTGAACAACGGCTGGAAGGAGGTTATGGTAGGTTTTTTTCCTATTCGGAAACAGCTTGGTCCTCGCCGGCTTTCTCACAGCCAGCCGACCAAGAATTGTTGAGGGTTTTCGCTCATTAACCTTTCCGCTTCCAGCTGGGATCCTTCCATCCAATTCTGGAACAACGTCAATCAGTGGTGAGTAGGTGGAATTTTGGGCCTTTCGGTATCCTTTTCTCTCATTCCTTGAGAGACTTCCTGCTGATCTCTGCATTCTTCCGTCTATCACAACTCTTCAACTATCGCTCTCAAACTTTCTTCCGCTCAGTCTTTCGCTTCCATAACTTCCTTGCTTTGCGTGGGTGCCAGGAGTCCCTCTCGAGCTCACTGCGCTGGAACCATGCCACCGCTCGTAACATTTCGAAGCATACACACTACATAGCAAGTAGTTGCGTGTAAGGCGCTATCGCATGGTAGGATAGAGGGGGAAGCATTGCGGCACAACGCATTCAGGAAACACGTCAAAAATGTTTTTTTTTTCGTCAGATGCGGGAATATGTAGGTCCTATAGGGGGGAAGGATCCAGGGTGTGTAAACAATTCCCATTTTCTTCGAAGTTCCTGACCCCTCTTGGGTTAGCTCTAGACTGCCTCCCATCTTGCGACACCGCCGAGTATTGAAAGTATTGTGTGCAATAAATAAAATCTCGCCATTACGTCTTGTCACAAAATTTGTGTGCGGACTCTAGAACTATGCTTGATATGGTATTTTCGCTGTGTGCGATGGCCACTTTCTGCACGGCGGGCAGAGAGGGACTCTTCATGGTCTCTCCTTCAATTTCTTGGCGCTGCTTTTGTTTCTATGCTATCGCTTTATTGCTTTCCTAACTAACTGCGGACAGTGCCCTATTTGGTTTATTTTCCGGAAACATTTCTGAACACTTTCCTATTCTAGTTTTTCACGGCATAGAAATTTTCAGAATACTGTACTCACGAACACATATCTTGGTCCCAAATCCGCCCTCATTGCCTTTTCTTGTATCATTCAAGCGTTTTAGCCGATAGTTTCTGAGCCGGACTTGCAATCAAACCATTTGGAATACTGGGTGAGAGCTGATGTTGTGTATGGTCCGGTCCGGTTACTGTCACACCACAGTGCACTCATGCACACCTGCTGGACGAGGGTTTCAATGCATCTCCGGGCGCAATTCACGAATCACTCAAGCCTAGCGACGCGGTTGTGGCCGCGTTGCACGGCAGTGTCACTATTTGAGGCCACAGACTTCGTTAATTGCGCCCCAGTAGTCATGGTGCAGTGAATCGCTCCCTTTACTGTGGCTTTGTGAACATGTCGTGTCCCTATTCAATAATGGCAATCAATAAATTTCCCTGTAGTCAATATCAATCAATATCTGGTTGTTCTTAGCGAGATCGAGAGACGATGTCTCGACATCGACCCTGCGTACGCCGATCGATTACGGTAAATGTGATAAATACCTGTAGTTCGGCATACGGTATCCATCCGTTAGCGACTGCAATGCTTTTTTTGACCAAAAAATTCGGCTGAATACTGCAGTCTGACAGAAGGTTACCGTATGCGGAGTGTGAGTATACAGTTTCGGTTGGCTTGCGGCCGGCAATCACTTTGTTTTGTGAATACTTGTAGAAAGACACAAAAAGGGACAATGTTTGTAGTGTGATATGACTAGGGGCTGCTACGCAGCGTAGCTGCCCATCATCATTATCATCGTAGCGTCCCTTTGTCAGTCACGCACTCGTTGTGCTAGAATAGCCGGCCACGCACATTCATCATATTCAGTTCCCGACAGTTCGTACCGTATCTCTCTCCCGCTCGCCGACCGTACGTGATGTGCTTTCCTGATTTTTCGCGTGTAGCCGCTACCTTTAGTGGGATACGGTACCCGGTAAGTGATGAATTTGTCACACTGTCACTTCGTCTCATTAAGGAAACGGCTCGACCGGATACACGGACAGCGCCGCCGTCGGTTCGCCGCGAGCTCCCTGGACCGGCTCCACCTCCACCTCCGCCACCGTATCCCATGGATCAACAACTTCCACCACCTGCTCCTGCATATCCACAAGATACTCCAGTACCACCACCACGCTTCCAACCAAGGCCACCGCCGGATTACCTCTCAGTCATGCATCGTGACAGAACGGTAGAGCGTAGCGTAGCGTGGAATTTTTGGATGATCCCGCTTAAGCATTCCTTTCAGATCCACCTGATTGCGTTGAATGAACCATTCGACGGGAACATGCACGGAATGCGTGGCGCAGATCTTCAGTGCTATCGCCAATCGCGAATGGCCGGCTTCACAACGACCTTCAGGGCAATGCTGTCCAGTGATGTTCAGGTAAAGGCGAAAGCTCAAAAATTGTCACTCTTCTTGTTGTGAGTGACACTGTAAGTGGTCTCAAGATTGTTACGGTGAGAGATTCGTTTTCACCACAGTTTTCGTCCCAGTTGCCTAACCAGGAAGGTCTTTCAGGGCGTGCCAAGCTTTTTGAAAACGGTCTTTTGCATGATATAGGGGCACATGCGGGAACCACAGAACCATGGTTAATTTTTCCTGAACGGCCCTCTGAATACCAGAAAAGGGGGTCCCTAGTTCGATTCCTCGTGGTGACAAATTTTTGCATTTCGAGTTGACGTTCCAAAATTCGCGCAAAATGGAGTTCTGATGTTCTGGTTGGTTCTAACTCCATTTTGCGCGAATTTTGGCACGTCAACTCGAAATGCAAAAATTTGTTCACCACGAGGAATCGAACTAGGGACCCCCTTTTCTGGTATTCAGAGGGCCGTTCAGGAAAAATTAAACATGGTTCTGTGGTTCCCGCATCTGCCCCTATATCATGCAAAAGACCGTTTTCAAAAAGCTTGTCACGCCCTGAAAGACCTTCCTGGTTAGGGCTTAACCCCGATGGCTCAAAGCTAGGAAGTACACACTATTCCTATCGAATGCCTCCTCCTACTTACCAACGTTAGCTCTTCGTGAATGTGTAGCTCTTGTCAGTGGCAGATAATTGCCCTAGGCCCATTTTCGAAAAGCTAGATCAATTCTGGTTAACTGGCTGACTACATATTCTATACCTCCACAATAACTGGTACCTAAAACTTTCTTGAAAACTCTAAGCGGGGGTGGGGAACGTTCTTGTTACTAGTAATCACTCTATGAGCTCAAGGACCTTTGCTCAATTTCCAAGTGAAAGTGGAGTGAGTGCATGGCTTATCTCTGCTCAGGACATGCTCGAGGGGGTGGGGGGGAGGCACACACAGCCACCAAGGGGGCGAGGGGGGAGTCATGCTCCGCATTGTGCCATTACCGCCGACTGGGACACACCTGTGGTGAATATCCGCGGTGAGCATCTATTCGCCAGTTGGCGTGCAGTGCTGAATGATGGACAGCGCAGTGTGCGACCGCTGTACTCATTCAGCAGACACGACGTCCTTACAGAACGTCATTGGTGAGTCACCGATAACCAGCACGCTACAGTGATTGGCTAGGTTCTTCAACAACTTTGAAAATTCAGGCCGGACAAACGCATCTGGCACGGTTCGTCAAGCGGCGGCATCCGCGCCGGTGATTACTGTGACGGATGGAGGACGAATAATCGTAAGTGACTTCATAGCATACATTATACGAATGTTACAGTACGACAATTACAATATTCAGCGTCTTTGTCTGCGATGGCTGGCGATTTACGAGTTCCTGGTGGTTTGATCTCGGCAGCGCAGCCCGCGAGCTGCGATCAAAAACTTATCGTTCTCTGTATCGAGGTTTGTGTCTGAGTATTGAACTTGCTGTGTTTCTGAGGCTTCTTACTACCTGAAAAATGCAGCAAACTTATTCGGAAGAAGCGGCTCATTTTCTCGAAATTCGGCTCAGAAATCGCCGTACCCCCCCCCGGCCATGTGCAGTAGCGGTCAAAGTGTCCCTCAAAATAGTTTTTCGTGCACCGTTTTCTCTCCCGTAACCACTTTCCTTCGAATAATGATATGATGTGTTTTGTAGTCTGATCCCGTTAATTGTGAAGATTTATGGCATCCCAGAGAAAAATGGTTGCTTGAGCTTTAAACCTTGTTTAGAAGAAAAAGTTAAGTACACTAAACGCGCGTTGAAGCAGTTTGACCGCTACTTGTGAATGTTTAGTCGCCCGGGTGGAGTGCAGTATTACGACTTTTGCCACGCCTGTTGGTACATGTCCCAGGTAGTACTGCCGCCTGGTAATCGCGCATGTTAAAATGCGCACGTTGCATCCAAATTGCTTGAATTTCTCGTTTTTCTGCTCTGACATCCACTATTGCTAGGTAAAGGGCGACCTGGAGCCAGACAAGCCACAGGCTGTCGCAAGTGCGCGTGCATCGTAGTGGTGGGTGATTTCGGTTCTCAGTGAGCTCCTGCTGCTCCGACCACTTTCGATGTTTGTACGTACCGTCTTTTCCTAACTGCTTTTATCCAAGTTATTGCGACGCTTCCTAAATCAGCCGGATAACGATTTCGGTGCATACCCTCTCCTCAAGACCAAACTCACTAAATGCAAGCAACATATGTATTTGCTCATATCCAGGGGCTATTTGACAAATCTGCCAGTTCTCGGCAATTCAGTCGCAAGGAGTCTGAATTGAATCTGTGTGGGAACATAGCAATGCGAAAATATGTCCCCAATCTCGTGCGCCAAAAAGGGTGTTCCCCAAGAGGCCCGTCGCGCGGCGAAGGAAGAGACGCAGACGCGGCAAAGGACGGGTCGCAGCGCGTGATGATATGAGACGATAGTATGGTACACTCCATTTCACCTGACGCCTAACCGCTATAGTATGCGCTGCGACTCGTCCTTTGCCGCGTCTGCGTCTCTTCCTTCGCCGCGCGATGGGCCTCTTTGGGACACCGCGCCAAACCAACCCCAATCATTCTGCTCATCACTGCGCCCACTACTGTCAAATTCATATAGCCAGCGAATCCACACTTATTTATCCGGCTTGAAACGCACTTAATGAACACTTTTCTCAAATAGTCCAAGTTCCATGGTGATCGGATTCTGAAGAAGAGGCGATTGGGCACCGTGATATGGTGATCGTTGCCGTCCACCGTTATCATCGTCGTCGTCGTCGCCATTGCCGTCAAGGTGCTACAGTATCCTGCCAAAAAATGAGCTACCGTATCCACTGTACGATATGTGTGTGTGTGTTGTACTGTAGGCACTGAATTCTCAGCAGCATGCGCTTTAAATCTCCCTCTGTTCTCTCTGTGCTACTACTTTTTCTTCCTGTCGTAGTTTGTCGAGTTGTTGTTTGCCTACCTTCAATAGACACGTCTTCTATTGCGTCTCACGCCTACTATGTAATGTTTCAATTAGTAGTAACCGTTCGATCCAAAAACTCCGGTGTTTTCTTGTCCAATTTCTCCTATCTTAAATTATTCACTTGTTTATTGATTAACTGATTAATTGATTGAATAGTTAAATGACGATGAATGATGACGTCATCCACACATTCTGAGTATTGTATGTGACCCACCGCCGCGCCGCGTTCATGCCCTCCACAGCATCTTTCAGCGTGTAGCCGCCTACAATAGAGTATTTTCGTCAAAAAGCTTCTCATGTGTGCAATATTTGTATAGATCTGGTCAGACCTGATATTATTTTTTACATCTCCAATTTTATAAAGCGATTTCTACATTTGTAACGATTGTGTACATGCGGAAACACGGGTTGAAGCCCCGCTGCAGGATCAATCCCACAGCCGCGTCAATCTTCCGTTGAAACAAGGGCGGAGGGCGGTTATGTTTCTTTGCAAAGGGGGAAGGTCGAATTTCAACTCTTGTGCGTCGGTAATGGTGACAAAAAAGGGATCGTTCCGAGATCGCTTTTGGTGGTGCGAGGGGGGCACGAGGTCGGGAGGGGGGTTGGGGGGGGGGAGGGGCGGTTAACGGAACGATCTCAGATCTTCAACACGAAAGGTTGGCTCTGGTTCCACTCATGTCGAAAAACTCCCAATTACTTCAGTCAACTAATAGTTGGCTGATCTTTGCGTAGGAATTGTAATGATCACATAGCAGGTTACGTTATAGCATACTACCCTTCCACTGATCTCCGAATTCTGGGAAGTCGAAACGTTGTGGCGGCAACCCCACCGAAACATGAACTCCTGATTTTGCTAAAATCATTGACGATCTTGGATTCTTAAACGCAGCAAACCATAGCTTGGAAGAAAAGCCCCCTTCTAATGAATGACTTTAAATAAGCTGTTCTCCGCTCAGAACGTTGAGCGCCATCTGCTCAAACCTACCGGCAAGAGCCAGCAGGATGTGGGTTGGTGTTCCCAACTGGTCCGACGTTACTGGGAAATAACCTATACGTCTTTCTTATGGCTAAGAAGCATTAGAAAAACAACGACTGGTCATGGTATTTCGTCAGCCTCCCCCCCAAAACACAAACATGAAATTGGCGTCCACGCTAGCTCGACTAGTGGCTCTGCGTCTCTAGCGTGACGGATACTTCTACTATCGTATATAACTTCGTATAATGTCTACTATATATAAAACGCGTGTGTGTGTGTGTGTGTGTGTGTGTGTGTGTGTGTGTGTGTGTGTGTGTGTGTGTGTGTGTGTGTGTGTGTGTGTGTGTGTGTGTGTGTGTGTGTGTGTGTGTGTGTGTGTGTGTGTGTGTGTGTGTGTGTGTGTGTGTGTGTGTGTGTGTGTGTGTGTGTGTGGTGTGTGTGTGTGTGTGTGTGTGTGTGTGTGTGTGTGTGTGTGTGTGTGTGTGTGTGTGGTGTGTGTGTGTGTGTGGTGTGTGTGTGTGTGTGTGTGTGTGTGTGTGTGTGTGTGTGTGTGTGTGTGTGTGTGTGTGTGTGTGTGTGTGTGTGTGTGTGTGTGTGTGTGTGTGTGTGTGTGTGTGTGTGTGTGTGTGTGTGTGTGTGTGTGTGTGTGTGTGTGTGTGTGTGTGTGTGTGTCACGAAATTCATAGCACGCGTCGCAGCAGTCGTTAGGAGCTGATTTTTTGATATGATATAGGGGGTGGGACGGGAACATATTTGGTGGGGGTCACAAAGTGATAACGACTGATAAGAGCAGATAAGAGGCGCTGAAACACAAATTTCACGAAATTCATAGTGCGCTTCGCAGCAGTCGTCAGGAGCTGATTTTGGGACATGATATAGGGGTGGGACGGAGTCTTCGACCGCTACACCTTCTAGAGTTCTTGAGGATGAATGGGATGCTCGAATAAATATGATAATGAATACTGGGCATTCCGTTTTGAGATATTCGACCGCTAAATTACCTCGATACTCGACGCATAGTGGTTGTTTACATCATCACTTTAGCTGTGCACTTCACTGCGCTTATCAAACAGTGAGATACAGCCAAGATGGGCAGCCTATGCAACGGACAGTAATACATTTAACGAAGCAGCTATAATTTAGCGGTGAAACCTAAAGCTTCATCGATTGTCAGTTCTATCAATGCGCGCGGTAGCGGGCGGAGCTAAACTGGTAAGTGTGAAAGCGCATCAACGCCCTGATAGACACAGCAACTCGAAAGGAATTTACGAAAAGCCGTTAAAGGCATGCCCCAGGATCACACTGGTGTGGCTCTTGCACACGAATGCGAATGTATTGGTGCCAAGTGGGCCGGCAGTAAAGAAAAAAGGAAAAGAATCCGTCGAAAACGCTCAGGTTAAGGGCTCACTCACCTTCCTAATCGGCTGTGCTAAGGGAATGAGAGACTAAGCGCGGAGAGGAGAGTATGGGGCGAGAGAGCGCTACAGATGAGAGAGCGCCAGACAACAGCCTGATAAGAGAAAAAAGTCTGCAGCTTGGGCAGCTTACTTTGCAAGGCCCAAGCGCTCTTATCGGTTGGTTTTATACGGAGAACGCCACATTTTGTGATTGTCCGTCTAAGGGTCTGTTACCACAGACCGAAGAGAAGCGTTCACACGATCTCTGCTTGGGTTGTGCCTTCAAGTGTCCTAGATCATAGGCATCCTATCCATTTTTTGCACATGTTCGGTGGTCAACTCAGTGTGGAGCTCCTCTCCTGCCCGCATTCCTTGTCCCCCTTGGGCTTATTAAATACCAGTTTTGCTTCGCCCGCTATCGCGCGCATCAGCCCGGCAGGCTTTTAGCGAAACTGGAGGACCCATGGAATATCGGCATGAGATACTCCATTAACGATCTCACTATTGACTATGTTAGACCCTCCACAGTTTCACTGAAGCTCATCGAGAATACGCGTGATAACGTCTGGAGCTGAACTGGTATATTGATCGCAACTCTGTAAACATCCAGCATTTTTCTTGAATTAAGATAATTTAGCGGTGAATAGGATTTTCCTGTCGTCAGTCTCAAAATGAAAATGAAATATGCCTCTTTACATAAGTGAGGAGCTGATGCTTATCATTCATTTACATTCACCATTATTTAGAAGCCCGAATGGAATGGCGGTTTAATGAATTTGGGTTTTCTTGATAGTGCGTCAGAAATGAAGCTTATCATTTGCTGAAGTTTATTTATGCAGTCGAATCCTATCAATAAAGCACACAATTTGTAGGAAGGAACGCTCCAGTGTCAACGCTGCGTAACGGAATCGACGAACTGCGGCGTTCTGGCGCGCCTTATCGGCCCTTATCAATCGTTATCAGTTTCTGGCACCCACCAACAATGTCCCCGTCCCACCCCACATAACACTTGTAAGTATGGTTGCTCTGGTGTCAACGCGAGCCAGGCAACGGAATCGACGACTTCAGCGTTCTGGCGCGCCTTATCGGCCTTATCAATCGTTATCAGTTTCTGGC